GATTAAAATTTGACTACTGAATAGGACTATGTAGATAATACAGATTTATTTACTATTGCTACAAAAATATGACCCATTCTAGTACTACTAGTTTTGCTCTAAAAGTAATATAAAATATTTGTAAGTCAATACAACCAAGTTTTTTTGAAGTGAATCCAATTCGCATGCATTTGGAGATGGGTCTGGGTTTGGGCCTGGTTTTGGGTCCGTCTGAATTCTGTCCGTCTGCTAAAGCGTTCAGCATCGATTCGTTATGATTGCATGTTAAATGGCTCCCGCTGAGTTATTACGAGACAAAATCCTTATTTATCGCTTTCTGATTTATTTGTAAACGATTTTCATGCCCATCGCCCATGGACGTGGACGTGTGGATGTAGCTGTGGATGTGGATGTGGAGGATGAGGATGAGGATGAGGATGAGAATGAGGATGGCCAGCAGGACCTGCAGTTGGACTTGGACTGGCATCTTGATGGGCTGGCCAGATTGTTTGCTCAGCAGAATCTCAGTTGGCCCTTGCCCATTTTTTACTGTTTTCAACGCCTTGTTTTACGGCCAGCAAAAAGTATTCTCGTTCTCGTTCTCGTTCTCGTTCTCTGCTCTCCCGCTCCTCGCACTTTTATTACTTCTTGTGTGCGTTTCTTATCTCTCTGGAAATTGTTGCTGCTTACTTAATTTTGACATATTTATTTTTATTATGTGCTGTATACTGGCGGTGGGAGTTTGTTCCTCCGTTCCCCATAATTCCCCCTAATCCTCGGCTACCCACACTCGAGATCAAGTGGGACTGTGGGGGTCGACTGGGGGTCAGTTTGGCCAGCAAAGCGTTCATTCTTTATTTCCGTAATTTAGGCAATCTATGCGGGAAATTCATGGAAAACCCCTTCAAGCTTTAGAGACAGGTGCCTATTCAATGCAATTTGTTATACGGTTTTCGAGATAGTCGCCATTTTCCCTTCATCGCTCAACCACTTAATATTTCCGAAGCTGCCATAAATGTCTCTGATCTTAACTTTGGTCTTCCATAAAAGAGTGTCACTCAATTGGTCAATTTCTTGGCACTTTCAGTTCGCCGGACACCAAAACAGCAGTCCGATCTCTCAGTTATGCGCGAAGAATGCAGAAGACTAAAAATGACCAAAGACAGAGAAATGGTCGACGCCTTCTGTTAACAACCGAAACGAAAGAGCCGAACATGGCTTATTAAAACGCAAAACGGCTTTTTACGATGGCAATAAATTGGTGCCGGGCATGGAACTGATTCCAAACCCGAAGCGGTTCTGCGCAGCGGAAGCAGGGAGTCGGCAAGTCGAGGGTGCTGCACATCAGGGGGGTATGCAAAGCCAAGGAGGAACTGCAGGCAGGCTTGCAGCGTCGTACCGGAGAGGCCAGCGTTTATGGCTTAAATTAATAAAATAAGCTTTGTCAGACAATTTACAACGCGTCTTCAGCGAGCAGATTACGAGCACGCGGACACGATCCAACTGCCAGCAGCAGAAAGCACAGAGCGAAAAGCATGCTGGCAAAAAGCAAAAGCAGCTCATCAGCAGCGAACTAAGAAACAAACAAGCACTCGGCAGCAGCGAAAGCAGCAAAAATCAGCGGGGATACTAACAAGGCAGAGTGTTGAGCCGTACGAGCCGAACTTTGTATACTCTTACATATACATTACCTGCCAAGAGAGCCACTGTGCTTCTCAAGCCCGTTTTGGATTCCATCAACAAGTTTTTGTGCAATATATATTATATTTACATATTTGAATTGAATCCAAGTTGCTCATCCTCGAAATCTATCCCAGTAATTATAAATGTGGAATAGCTTCCCGCCCTTTATAGGGTATCAAAACGAAGAGGAAAGCCAGCGCGACATTGAATGCTGCCTGAGTGTCTGCCTGGACTTTGGTGGCTTGGAGGGATCGGAGGACTCTGGAAATGGAGGGGTGTCGGGAGCGTTGCGGTGTTTGTTCGTTAATTAGTGAACATATTTCGTATAATCGGTGTCATATTAGTTATAAATTGGATAAAAGCGCAAAACGACAACTTAATTAATTTTAAATTCCAATTTATAAACGAGAATTGCAAAAGTTGTTGGCGTTGCACGTTCGCTGTTGCAGCTGCGATTGCTTGGCTGGTGATGACGATAGTGCGGCATTGATAACGATTATGGAAGTACCCAAAGCAGGATCCAGTCGTGTTTGCTAATCATGTCCGAGGCATAGAACTAAGCCGATCCCCCGATACCATCCATCGTTACTCCAGCATTCCTGCCACAGCTTCATTTAAATTTCTCTCCTCCTGCGCTGTTGGCCATCCCTTTTTGGCCAGTTCCGAGAATCCGCGAAACCGGCTCGCTGGGCCCACAATATTCGATTAGGAGGCCGTGTCTGCCTCCGCCGTTGATATATTGCCAACGATCATCAGCGATCATCATTTTGTTTTGAGCAGATTGCATTTCGCTGGCTGGGAACAGAGGAGTCTGCATAACTGGCCAACTGGGGAAATGGGGAACTGGCGACCTGGAGAGGATGCCGCGAAATTACCTTATAACTTAATTCATTAATAAATTTATGAATTGACCGTTGTAAATTGCCGTCCAAATTTATGGGGCTCAGTTCTCTGTCATTGGAATGGTTTATTTAACCAGGTCTTGGCTTAGCTCAGCTTCCAGTGCACGAAAAGAAATAATTTATAAATTGCATTTCAATGTATTCAATAAAGCATACAGATAGGAAAGAGAAGTATGCGATTTAGTACAATACAATACATTACGAATAGTCGTGGTGTGCATTGGAAATATATTAATTTGCTGTTTAATTGAAATGTAACATCAATAAGTAAATATGTTTTTCTTCGGTGTATGACATCTATTTGTGAGCCATTTCAAATGAAATGTCGAACGCCTCCTCAAAGACCCAGTAATTAATGAGCTATTTCGACTTAAAGACGATTTGTCTAATATATATTGATAAATTTCAATTATTAAGCCATCATTATCCAGCTCTAGGCCCTTTGCCTGTGGGCTGTTGAACAAAGAAGGCTTTCTAAGTGAATCCCAATACTGTTTATTCACCTCGTTCATGAATGAATGCGCGTTTCACTTCCTTCTTGGTTATATTACCAACTCAACATTCATAGGGGACAAAAAGACAAAATGACACAGTGTAAAGACACATTGCCATTCGCTGAGCGCTTTTAAAATATTTTCCAAACCGTTGGGGATATCAATCAATACTTAGGTTTTTTTGGGCTTGGAAGAAAAGAAAGAGGAAATAATAATACGGAGGGCAGGGGAATGAGCCGGAGTGTCACCTTTGACAAGGGTTTGAATGAATGAAATGAGCTTTGTTGTCTCAGGCCGATCATTGATTAATGCGATGATTTTGGGAGATTATTATTCCAAAAATATGTAAGCCAATATATTCATATATGGTGCAAAATGGTCACATAATAAAGTGTATAGAATAACTATATCTGCAAATTGCAATGGTTTATAAATTATTTTTGATCACATCAAGCAACAATAATTTTCAGTTTTAAAATGTAAGCTCATTTTGATGTTATCACAAAACAATTAAATAAAATATATGTTTTAAAAAAATTATTGAATTTTTCCACTTTGCAGCATGGTTTACCCGCTCCCTTCGCCGTCATCCCTCGTTTTTTGATAAAGTGAAGACTCAAAGCGCTGACAGCTCGGGATTCTCAGCATCCAGCTTGCCGCATTAATTTTGCTAATCCTGCTCGAGACGATGATGATGGGGCTGACGATGATGATGGGAGGACACGGAGACAGGAGGACAGGAGGACAGGAGGAGTGGAGATAAAGACCGGGACAGGTCAGCAGCAACAGAATCAGTGGCCATGCCGACTGCTTTTATATGGTTATAATTCTTGCTTTTGACAGCAACAAGCCTCGTTTGTCGTTCCTCAGAGTGTTGGACCTGAATAGCCCCATTCCCATTCCCAATTCCGATCCCGATCTTGATCCTGATGCGCATCCCATTCCCAAGGAATGTCAAATTAACACACAATGCGCCAGCTAATACATTAAACAATATGGGGGAACAGGAGATATTGCTAAGCCGCTGTAGCTGCGATTTCCCAGAAGTTATAGACACACGGAAATTTCGTTGCGTTCCGATCGTAAATTATATCAATCTTGTAAGTAGCTGCCAGCATTTGAGAACAATTCTGTTAATCACTTAATTTATGCAAGTGCTACAAATCGCAACCTTGTTGCACCAGCGAGGGGCTTATCCATTTCGGCAAATTAAGCGAACCGAACCTAACCGAACCGAACCAAACTGAACTCAGCAGAACAGTGGGTTAATAAACGATCATTTAATAAGCGTTTTAATGCCAAATTTACGATCGTTTTATTTGCATAAATTACCAAAGTTGCCAACTGTATGCACATTAATTTCTCAACCAAATTGCCAATAAAATGTTATTTATGTTGCTAAGCGAAAATACAACAGGCAGTCCCGCAAAATTCCTTCAACGCGCCCGAAAGATCGGCTGAAAGGGAGTATGACTATATAGAGGCATATCCGCATATATGGACAATCAGCTGGAGTCAAAGGTAGTAAAGTTTATGGGTTTTCGGTTGGCATTTTGTTGGCTTACCTTACTTCCACGTCTCATATACGAATTTCGCCCTAATAGAGTCATAAAATTTGGCATTCAGGGGCCGGGAGTTGATGTGATTTTGTTGACTAACTAACGACCTAAGCCCAATCAAACCTAACACACGAACTATATTGCCGGGATATGCAGTATCTGTGCAAAGGATTGGTAACTTAGAGGAGTTGGTCTATATACGCATGGCTTTCAGTTCAGTTTGATAGTTCTAGAATAACTCCACAAATGTTGGTGAATATTGTGTCACAAGTTCTTTGTCATTACTGTGAGCTTTGTTCGATAGTCGTAAAGGATTACTAATTTTTGTATATTTCTTTCACCAGGAGACCTTAATGCGTTAAAAATGTTGAGACCCGCCCTCGATCCTGTGTTCCTTTTCTTTTTTTGTAAATTAGTGTGAAGCTGAAAAAATACATCAAATTGGGCAATTACTTATTGCAAATCATCGGTAGTTCGGCCATGGAACTCGGGTATCCAGGTGACCATCATTTCGGTCATGTCGAACACCTCCAACGCTTTGCAAAAGTCCGGGAATAGTATTTGGTTGGAGTCCGACTGATCAATTTCCTTCATCATGGTATCCACAATGCGCATTATTTGCACGTGATCCAATAGATTTGAAAACAACTTGTGCACAACTATTACTAAGTCATACTTTGTGATACGACCGTCCTTGTTGTGATCGTACATGTTAAAAATTACTGAAAAAGGAAAATCTCGCATTCAGTAATTTGTTTTCTAAATACTTCATTCGCACCATTTGACCATAGGTATTGGTGAGCTTACACTTTAATTTCTTGTCCATCATGGCATTTTTCAGCTCATTAGAGGTTTTAAGAGAATGGGCCTGAAAGGTGCTCAGAAACAGAGCGAAATCCAAAAAGGTAATTGTCACTTTATCCCCGAACATGGAGTTCAATATGGTGGGCAGTAAGGGGTTCAGTTGCAGTAGTCCGGAATAGAAGTTGTACTTGTGCAGGTGACTTGGAGGATCTTTGCCGCCTCCTGAAAACTGGTAGAATCGAATATACAGATACTTGATCTGACTGCGACTTACTGGGGAGTGCTATGATATCAGAATTCAGGACTTGTACAGCTCCATAACCTCTTACGTGATGTACTCAACTTGAGGGTGTTTATAATGTCCTGTGGAACTGAGGGATATGAGGCGGCCTTCCGCAGGCACAGACATCCCATTCTGTAGTGCCTTCCAATTAAAACAGATTTCTTAAAATTACAGTACTTGAAAATTTCCACAGACAGCATTTACTAAGAAGCACATACATGAGACACTTGCTACTTAATTTTCCATTTCCCATTTTTTCGTTTTTGATAAACGCCGTTCAAGATCAGTTAAGATTGGGGTCTAGACCTCATTTTATGCGTTAGTTGGTTTTTACGATCGTGTATACCTATAAAAAAAAAGATCTCCAAAGACAAGAAGCTGCGACAAGTGACATTTTGTGATTTTGTGCGCAGGAAGTCGAGCACTCATGAAGCATATTACTTCATTAAAAATAGAAATTAAACCGAATTCTGCTTCTCATTCTGGTTTTAAATAAGTTTGTGCTGTGGCCGACTTTAATGAGGGTTGATTTGTTTTTTTTTTTTACATTTTATAGGGTTATACCGATTCCAAAAAAACGATGTAAAATAATATATGGAATGCGTATCTTTCTTGCTCTTACAGTTTAATTATTCTTTATATTAAAATTATGTTTACAATATAAGCCTTAACATACATTAAAATCACTTTACTTTCAGGTCGGCTTCTGGTTTTCGTGGACCCAAGGGCAGAACTGTAACAAGTTTTGGCGACCCTAGAACTTCAACAGCTGTGTGGTCCCCGTGTCGAGGGTCACGTCACAAATGGTCGCATATCTGGTGCCAATTTGCGGCAGAAATGTGTGCCACATGACAAGCAATTAAGCGCGGACTGCGACGAAGTACGTGCCCAAGTTGGGGGTTTAGTGAACCCGGTCGCAAAAGCGATAAATTTATGACAAATTTTCAAAAGAAATGGTCTGGTCAGACTGCGTGTGGTTCAGATATCGCCGTGACTGTGGTGGTGTTCCTGGTGTTTTTGCTGGTTGTTCTCCACCGAACATTTCGACGTGGCGGCACTTAACACCACGCATCATTTTAATTATTTATTTGGCCATAAAGCAGTCGAAGCAGAGGGCGGGGTGGGTTCGGGGGCGAACTGGCCAACTTTCGGCACAGTTTTCGTTAGCTGGCGGTTCGAAATCGTTAAATTTAACAAATTGCCGGCGATTTTTATCGCGCTCCAAGCCCACAGCGGACCAACCCAAGTCCAAGCCAACCCGTTCAGACTCTTTCCTGTCCTGTTAGGCCCTGCCCATAGATTGTTTTCCTTATACTCACTCGTGCTTTTCTGAACTGGCGAATTTATTTATGACCAAAGGCCGAGAGATACAGTATTTTTAGTTTCAGTTTTCGGTTTCGGCCATAACGCATAATTGGCCAAAGAGTTATGAGTGAGGGAGATGACTCAGGTACTCGAAATTTTTCCCTAATTAAGTTGAATGAAATCGTCCAAAGGTAAAGAATACGCTGGTTCACTTTATGTGGTCGTTAAATCGTTGATGCTCGTCTTATCTCTTACTTGATCGTCAAGAACCATTTCTATCTTATTCTCAACAAACGGAACCAAACATCCCCATCCCGAAAGATAAGGTACTTACTATCCCTGGCGAAGTGTCATTTTTGGTGCCGCGTTCGTTGCCTGAGTCTTTCGTTCGGTTCGAGTTCGTTGCCTAAGTCTTTCGCTTGTTCAAGTTCGTTGCCTAAGTCTTATGCCCGGTACTTGTTTAACTAATCGTAGGCAAACTAATTAGTGAACAAAAAATGAAATTAAAACGCAAAAAACAACTTAATTATTATTGCAAAAATATATTTGGAGCTCGAAAATAGCCAACTAATTGGACCGCTACAACAATTCTCTTCACAGGCCAGTCACGCAGCAACAAGACCAACGGCCACTGCAAACATGTTAACTGAAAATAACCTGTAATTATAATAATTATCTGTAAATTATATGGCGCACTTACAATTGCACACGGATTCATGCGCTTGTCATAAAAAAAACTCCCGAAGTGGAGTTTTGAGTTAACGTTGCCTTTTAATCTTGCTCGATTTTCATTCCAGCGATCGCAGATGGCAGTTAGCGGTTGCAATAGTTTACGGCTGTAAGCTACTGCTGGACATTCAGGCTGGGTACACTGCGCGAGAATTGGTGAGGAATAAGACTTGAAGACTTCTTACGATATATTCTTTGATATGCTCTAAATAGAACTGATGTCTTAAAATTTGTTAGCTTTAATAACTACTTATACACTTTGTATTCATTCAGTTATATTTTATTATTATTATTTCTAAAAATTAATTTTTGTTTTTTTTTTTGTGTATTTCAGTTAACGATTTTCGTAGCTATTGCAGTTTTTACCGGCAGACTTCAGAAACGTGATCATAGCCTCCATTTAGACGAAAATTAAATCAAATTTCATTGGCATGTGTGAAACTGTCGCGCACTCGCATAATTTGTGGCTGTTGTGTGTATTTTTTATTTTTTAGCTCCATCCGGTTAAGTATCTCTTGTTGTTGCTGCAGTTGGTGTGTACTGGCTTGATTCTTCGTAATTGAAACGAGTTTGCCACAAGTGAACATGTTTTTTGTATTTTTTTGGGGTAATTCACTGTCAGATGTTTCGCAGTTGAGTGTCGGTTATAAAGTAATTAGCCTCAATTTAATGTTTATACTTTGTTGATTATGATTATGTTAATTATACGACTTTATGTGACGGTGAAAACAGGGAAATATTCCGACCGATTCCGGTTGCCCTGTCATCATCATCATTATCATTATGATCATTACGAATGTCGCGGCTGACATTGATGAACTCGAAAGTGTGACAAGCCGGCGAATTGCTTAATGTCTGGGTAATATGGAAACTTTTCTGCCTTGAGGAGCATAAAACTCCCGGTGGGTGCTTCCTGCTAGTTTGTTGCCTCAGTCTTTCGTTCGTTCGCTCGCTCGCTGGGCCTAATGGCGTTCTATTAAAAACCACTTTTATTAATTAAGCAAAACAACTTAATTCCCATGTAAAGCGCTGCATCAGCATCACATCATGGGCAGCTGCTCAGGCTAATTGCGCAGAGGCAAGACATCTGCATCTGGGATCCCGATCCCAAACTCGCACTCGATCCCGATCCCGATCCCATTCCCGATCCCCACAGACACCTGAACAGTTTGCAACGAAAACACGATAAATGGGTTTAATAATGGCGGCAATTAAATGGATACACCGCGCTCTCTACACATTTTGTGAAGTTGGAGCCCGATCCCAATCCCCGGGCAGCATCTCAATTACCGCTGCTCTGCATGGCGCTTCACGGTTGAGAAATTCGACGCCACTTTCAAAAACGCATCACTCAAATGCTCATCTGCTTCTCATCCACGCGTATGCATTCTGCTGCTCTTTCGCAGCCGAGGCGTTGAATCTCCTCTTTTTTGGTGCTCATGTCAGCCAACTCATCGGCAATTTATTAAAACTCATCAATACTCATCAAAGGCAAAAACAAAGCGAACGCGAGGGACTTCAAACTGCGATTCGATTTTTCAAAAAGGGAAAACCTAAAATAAGTAACAAAGGAACGGAGACAGAATGCCTGCGGTTAATTTGGCGCAGCCCCAGAAATTGAAATAGATTTGTTTATCTTTTGATTATTAACGGCTACACGTTTGAGGGGATGTGTTCTGTATTCTTAATGATATATATTATCGACGCAATTTATAGAACTATTTACATTTCAAAAAGACGGAATATGAGTATTTAGAATCTAAGGCATAGCAGCTATAATTTGTTGAATACGCAATACATGGGTTCCTTGTAATCCACTGATTATTCGCATATATTCACTATCTTCTATTCTTTTCACCTCATCTCAGCTTGAGCTGGCAGCTTTTTCAGCATCAGCGCCCGTGATTTGTCTGAATTTTCAGCTCATTTATTTGTAGACACTGGTATTTGAGCCTGTCTGTTTGTTAGGCCCCTCGACCGCCTATCCATTGTCAGGTTGGAAATGTGTATAAACAAAATGTTTTGCATATGTCGGAGGCACTCGAGGCGCTCGTAGCCATCAATCCCGAGGGCATCAATTTGGGAAATGCATCAGAGTTGGCAGCTCGAACAGCTTGATTAGTTGTACGACCACAGCCGGCACATCCCGGCATCCCAAGTGCATGTCGGCTCATTAGGCTCCTCCACTGATGAGCAACTGGCAGTGGAAATGGTGGGGCGGGGGAACTGTGAAATCGGTTATCGAATCCGCGTCTCATGTCTGGTGTCTACATCGAAATTAGGTTTTAATAATTGGCTCACATTTATTTGCCGCCTTAATTTGATTGTGCCGTCAAATGTTTTTCATGCAGTCGAATCATCAATTAATCACTGCTCATTGATCGTCTTGTGGTTGTTGGGGGCGTGTTAGCCTTAATGAACCTGGCTAATGCGGAGGGCGAAGATGAAATATGAGCAGGGCTGTCTGAGAACCTGGCAAAAGGAGGATTCTAAGGGGGATTGAATAAACTCAGATTTGCTTGTTTGAGCAAGTAAAATGAATAGAAGAACAAAAGTCTGAAATTAAAAGTTATGATAAATTATTATAAAAGTTACAACTGAACTGCTTTAGTTTGTGAAAACCAAGCGCATTTCTATATTTTACTAGTACGTATTGGTAATATTAGATATTATAACCCTTTATGCAAAACCAATTAAAATTTGTAAAAAATCAACGATCAATTGGCTCACAAAACACCTGGAAATTCTTAGTTAATCCAAAAATTACTTGGTGTCAAATCGCGAGCCTTTTCAATTCGATTAGGCAGCGTTTGCCCAGCACGCGCAGAGCATACAACAAATGCGAAGTGGGGAAAGGGTATAAAACTTCATTAACAAGTTGGCAAGACTTTGGCAGACCTTTTGTCGCCAGTCCGAGGTACGAAATTGAAATTGAAAATGTGCCCCGGACGCGGATTCCCGAACTCCAGCCGGGTTGCAATCTGTGTCGCCGGATCAGCGGCAAAAGTGTTTGGATATTTGTTTAATGAAAAGCGAAACGAGATCCTCGAGTCCGGAACACCGAACACCGAACCCCCAACCCTTTTGGGATCCTCGACGGCATCCTATCGTGCGGCGAATATCAAGTCATTGGCTTTAGTCACACTTAA